AATACGTGAATGGGAGTGATGGGGGTTTGAATAGAAGGTGTGGACACAGAGGACGTCAGCCCCAATAGTGATCACTTCTTTCTAAAGGGTTGAGCATTTAGGTGGGTGGTATAAACCTCTAGCATTAATGAAAACAAATTGTAGACTCGTGGTGGCACGGTGAAAAAAAGCTTTAACTCACAAGATCCTCGTGGGGCGGCAAGCACGGAGGAGATGAGCGAGGTCCATGAAGAATAAGGTTCAGGGTGGACGGGAGGTAGAAGTTCTGGACGGTCTACAGTTGTACTGGAGGAAGAAAAGCGAGGAAAAACACAAAAAAATAAAACCATAACTTGAAGAAGAGAAAAATTGAAAAGGTAGCGATCCCAACAGGATCTATATGCAGAGTAACACTGCACATGGGTTTAACAGGGGTAAAAGGTTAAACGAGCTGTAGTAACACACACAGTGGCACCAGACTCCATTGTGTTAGGAGTCGGAAGGTGATGAGGAAATCCAGATGACAGTCAAGGTTGACGGTTACGGGTGTACGGAACCGATTTCCATCCATGCGGCATGTGGCGAATGTCACGAGCAGAGGGCTGAATAGGAGGATCATCTAAAGCGATATTCCTCAGGCGTAAGAGGTGCGCCCCATCTTTTACCGACAGTATGGAATGGGACGATTCATTGTAGGATACAACTAGCTTTGTAGGGTAGCCCCATCGATACATAATATTATTCTTCCGCAGGGCACCAGTGATGGGAGCAAGTTGCCTCCGCATGGTCAGGGTATGTTGCGACAGGACGGGATAGAGTTGCAGAAGCATTCAGGAAGATGGTCTACATCTCGGACTTTAGCTAGGAGACGTTCTTTTACATGGAAGAAATGCATTCGCATAAGGACATCTTGCGGCAGCCTGTCTGGTAGAAAGGACGGTTTAGGGAGACGGTGGATCGTATCTATAATAAGATCAGTGGCTGACAGGTCAGGCAGTAGGGCCTGTAGTAGATCTAATACATACTGGCGCAGGTCTCCTGGGGGAACCGACTCTGGAATGCCCCTGATTTTGACATTGTTACGACGCGATCTGTCTTCTAGATCCGCTAATTTATTTTTGACCCAATGCACATCTTCAGCAATGCGATCTTGAGAATCAATAAGTTGATTAATAGTAGATGTGTATTCTTCCATCTTATTTTCAACGTGATCCACTCTATTACCCACTGCCTGTAGTTCAGATTTGAACTGTTAAGTTAAAGACATTATATCTGAGTGTATCGTGCTGCGCAGTGACATCAGCATGTCTTTCATGGTGGTATCTAAGAGCGGCTGATCTGTTGTAGGGAAGCACGTAATAGAATCTTGCAACTCTCTGGTGTCCTCATGGGAGCCATCTACAGGACTTACCGGCGTGGAGTGAGAGCATTCTTCTGCCATCTGAGGCTTAGATTTTAGTGGACTACCCGAATGGGAGGAAGAAGAGGAAGAAGAGCCTCGTGGGTCCGGAGGTGGCACCCTGTCTCCACTGACTGCTTCGGGGGCCGCATGTGTCTACTTTAAGGTTGGCCCTAGAAGCAGAGGAGGGAGAGTCGCCGCCATCTTGGCTGCGCCGTGGCGCTGTGGAGGAGGAGGTGAGTTTTCACGGTCTGCGGTCATCCTTCTTCTTGCGGCTCATGTCTGTGGATGGCAGGGACAGTCACCAACGATCGGGCAAGGTAAGAGATGTCGTCTGGAAACAATCAATGGAGTCCGGGCAGGTGTAGTCAGAGTGCTACAGAATCATGCGGCCGGACAGCTCGCGCGGTAGCCACGCCCCCAGCTTGCCCATATTTTATAGAAAGAGGCATAATAATCCCAATTAGAATACAACAATTCTACTAGAAGTCTAGTAGAGTCTAGTTTTATAAACCAGTCGGATATTTAGGGTATTCGAGTTGTCCTCCAATATCTGGGTATTAGTGACTTAGCAGTGTTAAGCATAAAGGAAATCAAAGATTTCCTATATTTATTAGGCGAGTTGGAGGTAAGATGAAATAGGCAGATCCATGGATCTAAGGGTAGTCGTATGTCACATACTTTGTTAATAATAGAAGTGACCGAAGTCCAAAAGGGTTTAATCAAAGTACAATCCCACCATATGTGGTTGAAAGTACCTGGAGATACACATAATTTTCAGCAGTTAGGATCATAATGAGTATTGAATTTATGTATTTTAGTAGGGACATTATACCATCCGGATAATAATTTATAATTTGTCAACAACATGGGGACATCAATAGAGGAAGAGATCGCTAAGGATATTAAATTTGTTTAATCAGGAGTAAGTTTGTGTTTGAATTCCATTTCCCATTTGCTCATATAGATGGGGGAGTATCATAATTAAATTGAATTATTGTTTTATAAAAGTACGAGGAGGAAACAGTCGTAGAACCTAATAGAGATTCAAATGGTGTAAATTCCTTAGGTGTTCTTAACCCCTTCATGACTGAGCTAGTTTTCAGGTTCTGTTCATAAATGACTGACACATTTTTTACATTTTTGCTGTGTGATTCTTCCACAGCAGTAATATACTTTCTTACTAAATGTACCCACACATATTATATATTGTTTTTTAGAGGACAGATAGGGCTATATAAATATATCACATATGTGTACCTAACCCCTCACTTAGTTTGAATAAAATAAAAAAAAATGAGGAAAAAAACTAGAAGAAAAACACTTTTTTCACAAGTTTTGATTATTATTTTTTTTAAGAATTTTTTTATATTAATTATAGTATAAAAAATATATTTATATATAATTTATATTTTCCTAATTTTGTTTTACACTTTATTTTAATTTTTTTACACTTTGTAAAAAAAATAAAAATAAAATAAAAAAACTTTTTTTTTCCTTGTCAGTTTATATCAAGCAATCACTATGACAGCTTGATAAATTAACTTTTTTATTTTATTTTTGGCTATTAGGCTGATCCAAACTTAGGAACAGCTAATAATAACCTTAGAGACTGATCCTGACTTTAGTCAGATTCAGATCTCACTAAAAGCTCTTTGATCGTGCCTAGACGATCAGAAATGATACATTTCACTCAAAAGATACATTGTATCCTTTCAGTGAAATGTATCTAAACATTGGGCTCTCGAGCTGTCAAAACAAATAGCAGAGAGGTGAGGTGAGTCACTGCTGCCTCTCTGCTATTTTGAGCTGTCAAATACGGGGTCGCAAATTGCGGTCCTCTATTTGCATGTAACGGCTTCATTCTTTCATTAATGAAAGGAAGAAGCTTTTACAAAAAGCTTAATTATTTCATGAATTAATGCCTCAATACTGAGACATTAATGAATGACTGTTAAATGCTGAGAATCAGCAAATACCGGCATTACAAAGCCTGATATAACTCATCACGTACAGTGTACGTGGCAAGTCATATAGGCACAAAGTGACAAGACGTACACTGTACGTCTCCCGTCACGAAGGGGTTAAAGGTTTTGGTAGTGAATAGATAAAATGAGACAACTGGTAATGTTTCCAGAAGTGTAGAGAGAGTGAGCCCCATTTTTTTGTAAGGTAGACAGGGGGAGTAGTGAGGAACCTTCTAATACATCACATAGTTTCAACTTAGAGGAGGTTGACCAATTAGAAAAGGATGGGTCGTGTTTGCCTGGTGGGAAAAACTCAGACCCTGTTAGAGGTATAAGTATTGAATTATAAAGCCAATTGAATTTACAATGTAAGTAATCCCATGTACGTAAAGTAAGTGTAGTTAAAGGTAGAGTAGAAGAAGATAACGGTCTCTTTGAAGGAGGACCAGTGCGCCACCTTTGTCAATTGAGCTGCAGTATGATAAATGTTTTTGCCAAATATATTTAGACACAATTCGTTTAACTAATGCAAAATATGAGCCCGGGAGATCAATAAGTAACATTTGGAAGAGGAATAAAATCTTTGGAAGGATCATCATCTTAACCATATTTATTCTGCCTATCCAGGATAAATTCTGCAAGGAAAAAGAGGTTACGTCAGATTTAATAACGTTTAACAGGGGAATATAGTTACATGGATATAAGTCTGTATATTTGCCCATCAGAGAAATGCCTAAATATCGAAGTTTCTTTGGCTGCCAACAAAAAGAAAAATGAGGGAAATAAGCAAATCGTTCGGACTCGGACACCGTTATATTAAGAGTCTCGGATTTGCCCAAATTAATATTAAAATTAGATCACCAAAAAGTTGTAGTTTTCTCAAGATTTGTGGGAGGGATGTTCTTGGGTTACGTACATAGAATAATACATCATCTGTATATGCTGCTGTTTTAAATTCACCTGCAGGAGTAACAATCCCTTGAATATCAGAATTTTTACGAACAGGGGCCAGGAAGGATTTCAATGAAAAAGCAAAAAGTAAGGGAGAGAGTGGACAACCCTGGCATGTTCCGTTATAAAGCGTGAAAACTTGGGACCAGGTACCATTGATTCTGACTTTGGCCGTGGGATTAACATATAGTGCCGAAATCCATGACATAATTCTGGAACCCATTACTTTTTCGGCATCAGAGCAGCACTGGGAACCTCTGACTTTTGGCTGAATTTATTAGTGAAACAGTCTTGAGAGCATTATCTCTTGCTTCCGTACCTGGAATAAACCCAACTTGGTCTGGGTGTATCCATGAAGGGATCAGGGGAGACCATCTATTTGCAAGAATTTTAGCATATAGTTTTGTGTTAATATTTAACAAAGATATTGGATGATAGCTTGCGCAACAGGAAGGGTCCTGGTCAGGTTTAGCTATAACTATTATACGAGCCAATAAATATTCGGGACGCAAGGGAGACATAAGATTAATAGAATTTACAAAGGAACAGAAATGCGGTGCCAAAATGTATTGAAAGCGTTTATAATAAATTAAAGTGAAACCGAAAGGTCCAGGGCTTTTCCCTAACGGAGTAGTTTTAACAACATGTTTAAACTCAATGGGGTAATATCGACCTCCAGAGCAGATAATGCTTTTTCTGGGATTATGGGTAAATTTGCTTGTTCCAGATAAAACAAAATGTTGTCTAATTTAGTAGAGGTAGAGATAGAGTCATTAGACTTTTAATCTGATATAAGTCTTGATAAAAGTCATGGAACACTTAGCCATTGTGGAATGTACTAAAGAACCAGATTTTGACTTAATTTTTGAAATGTGTGTTGCGAACTCTTTGGTCTTTAGTGTCCTCACAAGAAGTTTACCTCGTTTATTCCCCAGTTTATAATATTTGCAGGAAACTAAGCTGAATGCTTGTTTGGTATCTGACTCAAGAATCATACGAAGCTGTTCCCGTTTAGTTACAAGTTCCTTGAGAATATTTGGAGTTACTGTTTTAATAGCATTGTCCCTAGCATCTCAAAAAGGGACAAATCATACTTGCTCCTTATTGATAAGCAATGTGATGTGTGGTCCCAATCTATTTGAGCTTAGCATAAAGTTTCAAATCAACATTGATCAGTGATATTGGCTGGTGGCTAGAGCATAGAATTGAATCTTTATTGTCTGTAGGTAACACCACGGTATGGGCTTCCTGGAATTGGGGAGAGAATTGACAGTCTGCAGAAATGGACTTAAAGGTGAGTTCAAGGATGGGAGACAGTAGGTTGTTGAAGTGATTATAAAAAGCTCCAGCACACCCATCTGGGCCTGGACTTTTGCCAGAGGGAAGGTTATGCATGGTCTTGGCAGTCTCCACAGAAAAGAGTTCTTCAAGAAGTGTTTTATCCTCAGAAGATAGAACTGGAAGAGGGGTAAATTCGATATAAGAAGCAGTCTGAAGAGAAAAATCAACCGCATCATGGGCTTGGACTGGTGAAGGTCATTTATAAAGATCGGAGTAAGAAACATGAAAAGACTGTGCTATCTAATCAGTATGATCTACCAATTGAGCGTTTGCTGAATGTATTTTAGAAACAAACATGCAAGCATGTTTGGTATGTATAGAACATGCAAGCATCTGTTTACATTTATCCCTGTGTTCATAAAATGAGCGCCTGAGGGAATCTTTGTACTTTAGAGCACTTGGGTCAAGCAACATCCTATGCTGTGAGCGTTTCTGTGTCAGAAATTGTAAAACAACTGGGTCAGCAGTGGATTTGAAGTGAAGTTCAAGAGTACGAATTTCTCGTAAAAAAATCAATGGTTGCCGATCTTACTGACAGGAAGTGCAAGAGATTAGATTCCCCTGAAGAAGACATTTGAAAGATTCCCGTTTGATTGGGGGCTTTGTGGTGTCATTTTCATGAATAGAAAGGAAGCTGGAAATGGCAGAAGTGATGCCAGCTACCGTTTCGGGTCTTGAAGGAGAGATCATTTAACTGCCACATCGGAGCATGCTTGGGTGAGTCTGGAAATGTTAAAGAGAGGGATATAGAGCAAGCAAAACAAATGGCAAACTCATTTATCAATTCATAACCAGCTTTAAAGCAGGGTGCACATGAAAGGGCTTTACATAGTACAAAAGCAGAAATCTCCCAGCACACTTACCAGTTAGCCTGCAAAAAACACGCTGTCTAACTATTAGGGGTTAAAACAGAGGTTTTAGTTGCACAACTTTTGCAAAACATGTGTAAGCCACACTGCCTCGTCAAGGCCCCTCTGTGTGGTTTGGTCCTAACTCTAATCTATGAGAGCCTCCATCTTGGAGCATATATAGCAAAGGATGACTTGGGTGCAGGTTCACCA